AATCTGAATCCTTCCCTTCCCTGCCACTCTCCCATTAAAGCCAAAGAGGGGAAGGAGAACGGAAACCTTGGGGACAATCACGACCTGGAGGACTTGAGAATCTCCTGAAACAACAACAACCACAACCACCACAACATCGGTGTCATGCTCACCCTGTCTTCGCAAAATTGGTCCAGTAGGTCATAACCACAGCACTCAACATTACGTCGTTCTTGGAGAAGTTGCAAGGGAAGAGGTCCATGGCCCCGAGCATGGGCACACCGAAAACGTAGGGGATCTCGTCCCCGTGGGCCGCATCGGCCCACTCGGGCCGCGTATCCGTCTGGCAGTGATGGTAGAAGGTGTAGAAGTAGACGGGAGACTGGTACTCAGCATGGAGCTTGGCGGTGGCCACGGTAGGCGCCACCCACTGGTGGTCAGTGAAAAGCGCCAGCAGGGTCTTGCGGCGCATCTCGCCATTGTCGCGATCGGCCCAGTCAGTGTACATGAACTTGATGGTCTCCCGCAAGATGTCCTTGCCCTCCGGGTACCCGTACAGGTTGTCCACGAAGTTGGAGATGGTGAAGTCGAAGTAGCTGGCCGAGATGCCATCCTCATTCTCCATGGAGTCCTCCACGAACTTCAAGCCCTCCCCTTGGTTGACCCCGATCAGGATGTCGTAATTGAGGAACTCGCCTTGCTGCATCAGGATCTCCGGGTCGTCGGGGACCACATCGCCATCCACCACGGGGCCGAAAGCGATGTGGTAGCGGGCAGGCTGGATGTCCTGGTCCACCAGCTCCCGGTAAGGTTTCTGCCGTAGGCATTCCACCGTACTCCCAGTGTCCAGGTGGTCGCAGCCAACCTTGGAGGCCAACATCTGGGTGTACTTGAGTGGCTGATAGTTGACGGACCAACTGGAGATGGCGGTGCCGCTCTGAGCAATGGCTTTCTGGAATAAACCTGTGGGGTGGGGAAGGAGAAGAGGGGTCAGCAACCAAGGGCCCAAACGGACAACGGTTACCAGGGTTCGAAGGTTAGAGCATAGAATAGCAATGGCGCTTATATACCGCTTCATGTCTCATTTCTGGCGGAGTTTGGGGGACAGAAAGAAAGACTTCTGCAGCTTCTGCTGCTTTCCTTGCAAGCAGCCAAAAGTCTCTCTCCTCTCTCTCTCTCCCACTGAAAATGGAGCTGGAGATGGTATCCTGCGATCCCAAATAAAGAACGATGGATTGGTAGGAAAACGGGGTGGGGGATTTTTCTGCAGACTTTTTTGGGGGGATTTTCCCAGGGTCTCCGGTCCGCGGGATTTCACATGATGAGTTGGGTGGTCCCTGAGGTCCAAAAGGTGGGCGACCCCTGGTTTACAGCATTCTCTGAGTGGTTTATGGAGTCAGCGTCTTTTCCCCCGACAATCTGAATCCTCGTTTTACCAACCTCGGAAGGAAGGATGGGAGACTGAGTCAACCCTGAGCCGGTCAGGACCGAACTGCTGGCAGTGGGCAGAGTCGGCTTGCAATACTGTATTCTAACCACTGTGCCCCTACAGCTTCCTCCCTTCCTTCTCCTCATTTCCATTTCTTTCCTTCTCGTCTTCCTTCTTTCCTTCCTTCCTTCCTCCCTCCCCATTTTGTCTCCTTCCTTCCTTCTTTCCATCCTTCACAAGCAATAGCACTTAGACTTATACACCGCTTCACACTATTTCACAGCCATCTCCTTCCTTTCCTTCCCCCTCTCTCCCTCCCCATTTTCTCTCCTCCCTCCCTCCCTCCCTCCCTTTCCTTCCCAAGCAACAACTTACTTATATACCCCTTCACAGTATTTTAAGCCCTCCTTTCTTCCTTCCTTCCTCCCTCCTCATTTTGTCTCCTCCCTCCCTCCCCATTTTCCTTCCTTCCTTCACAAGCAATAGCATTTAGACTTTCATTCCGCTTTACAGTATTTTACAACCTTCCTTCCTTCCTCCCTCCCTCCCTCCCCATTTTCTCTCCTTCCTTCCTTCCTTCACAAGCAATAGCACTTACTTATATACCGCTTCACAGTATTTTAAGCCTTCTCCTTCCTTCCTTCTCTCCCCATTTTCTCTCCTTCCTTCCTTCCTGCCTGCCTGCCTGCCTTCCTTCCTTCCTTCCTTCCTTCCTTCCTTCCTTCCTTCCTTCCTTCCCAAGCAACAGCACTTAGACTTATATACCGCTTCACAGTATTTTAAGCCCTCTTTTTTGTTCCTTCCTCCCTCCTTCCCTCCCTGCCTCCCTCCCCATTTTCCTTCCTTCCTTCCTTCCTAAGCAATAGCACTTACTTATATACCGCTTCTACTATTACTGTTAATCTCATCACTCCTTATCACCCATCCCCTCCCACTTGTGATTGTAGGACTGTAACTTTGTTGCTTGTATCCGTACTATTTATATTGACTGTTTCCTAGTATGATTTAATTGTTGATTGTACCCTATGACTATCATTAAGTGTTGTACGTTATGATTCTTAATTCTTAACGAATGTACCTTTTCTTTATGTATACTGAGAGTATTTACACCAAGACAAATTCCTTGTGTGTCCAATCACACTTGGCCAATAAAGTATTCTATTCTATTCTATTCTATTCTATTCTATTCTATTCTATTCTATTCTATTCTATTCTATTCTATTCACAGTGTTTTAAGCCCTCTCCTTCCTTCCTTCCTTCCTCTCTCCCCATTTTCTCTCCTTCCTTCCTTCCTTCCTTCCTTCCTTCCCAAGCAACAGCACTTAAGACTTATATACCGCTCTGCACGGTGCTCTCCAGCCGTCTGTGAGCGGTTTACACAGTCAGCCTCCTGCCCCCCAACAATCTGGGTCCTCATTTTGCTGACCTCGGAAGGAAGGACAGAAGGCTGACTCCGCCTTAAGCCGCTCAGAATCGAACCGCTGGCAGTGGGCAGAGTATAGAGCCTGCAATGCCATACTCCAACCACTGTACCACCACGGCTCTTACATAGGGTTGGAAGGAATAATAGGGCTGGAAGGCATCTTGGAGATCTTCTAGTCCAGCCCCCTGCCCATGGCAAGAGAGCCTATATACCATTTGGGACTTTATTTGGACTCGATGGTTGGGATGGATACACATGATTGTAGAAAGAATAGCGGAATAATAGAAGGGACCCCAGAGGTCCTCCAGTCAAACCTCCCCCACCCAATCAGGAGTCCCAATGTCATTTCAGACAAATGGCCGTCGTAAGTCAAGGACAGCAATGTTCAGAGTCCCCCTGTGAGGAAGATGGTTGTTCTGACCAAGGCTGTTCCTGAGACCGTAATTAAGCACATGCTCAGTTAAAACAACTCTTTGTTTTATTGCAATGCTGGGAATTATGAGCATTCCCAGCCAGTAATGAGTCCCAAAGAGTTCCTTGAGATAAGCACCCACCTTTCTCTCCTCTGAATGGCTGCCAACAACTAAAGTGCCAAATGAACTGTAAAAAAAAAACCAACCGAAGTACAAAGTCCACACAGAGCTTCAAGGTTTAATCCGAACGTTGCTTCCTGCAAAGGTTTTGTCACCTTGGCCTGACTTTTATCCCTTAGGGGAGAGGCGATCATCTCCCAGCCTTGCTCCCGAATTGCCCCTTTTGTCTCAGCTGCTCTTGCCTTCTAGCAGCTCTGCGCCCTGGGAATAGGCTCCCCTGGCTCCTCTTCCTAGCTGCTGCCAGGCTCTGGAGGCTCCAGAGGCACCACCGCACTCCCAGATGGCTCCTGGCCCCATCCCTGAATCGGACGCAGGACCCTCATCCGAGTCCTCTCCAGACTCCCGGACTGCTCCCCGTTCTTCCCCACTGTCCGGCTCCGCTGCTATCTCCGCACTGGCTGCCGTTGAACCACAACAGGTGGGCGGTCCTTAAATGTGATAAATACAGGTAGACTCACCCTCCAAAAAATTATGTCACAAAGCGAGACAGGTGTGAAAAGCGAGTTTTGCCCCATTTTACGACCTTTCTTGTCCCAGCTGCTAAGTGAGGCGTTGGAGACCTGAATCTGGCCATTGACTTGGCTCGTCGGACGGTCGCCAAAGAAGATGATGCTCCCCGTTCTTCCCCCGGAAGACAGCGCCCATCATAAATAGGAGTCAGAATTTTGATGACGTGACTACGGGGATGCAGCAGGGGTCGTTAAGTGTGAAAACTGGTCCTAAGTCCTTTTTTTTCAGAGCCTTTGTAACTTTGAGCGGTCACTAAATGGAAATGTTGTAAATCAAGTTTTACCTGTAAATGGATGGATGGATTAGGCATCATCTGTCTCTTTTTATGCCTTTCACTTTCATTTTTTTTTGTAAATCCCTCCCTCTCATCTCAAGGTGGACAAACCTTGTGTCAGGGTTCCGCCGATTGCCCGAATTAAATTGTGAGCTTCGAGTCAAGGTTCAGAAGAACCCAAAAGATTGATGAGGAGCAACAGGTTGGCATTGACCCATATGTAGCCCATTCTCACACGTCATTTACGTGTGACCCTGTTCCCCCCCACTCCCTCTGGGGTGTGTCATCAATCAGATTGTCCAACGAAGGATTTTCGTGGGGCGGAAGATCTGGTAACCTGGGCTACAATCTTTGTAAGAGAAGTGTGGAATGTACTTCTGGTTTTAATGACCATACTGCTCCTACACATTCCGCCCCCCTTCTCCCTTTGTTTAGGGCAATTCAAAAAAAAAGGCACAGGAAGGTTTTACGAATTGACCTCCAGTTAATGTCCCTACAAACCACCTGATCAGTGGTGGGATTCAATTTTTTTTTTACTACCGGTTCTGTGGGCGTGGCTTGGTGGGCATGGCCATGTGACTGGGTGGGCGTGGCTTTTTTTGCATTTTTGCAGAGGAACCTCTGGAGGGGGGGGGGTGTTTGCTCCCAGAAGGCTCCTCTGGGGCTCAGGAAGGCAAAAAATGGAGAAGGGGGCCCTGAGCCCCTCCCTCCATTTTTTGCCTTCCTGGGCCTCAGCAAGAGGAATCCCGGCACAGCTGACCTGCTCCGTCTCCGACCGGGGCCGTTTCAACCCTTGTGCTGGTTAGACAGTATATAGTTAGTTTGGGAATGAGAGCTGTCCCCTTAAGGGAATGCCTCATGGGAAATGTAGTTAATGCCTCATGGGAGATGTAGTTCATGTCATGTGGTCACATCTGTACTCCTGATTGGTCACTGAATTGACCTCTGGTTGGGGTGGGGGGAGTTTTGTTCATTCTTACCTGGACCCAGCAACGTGCTGGAGTCTTCCCTTGCTGTATCATTATGGGATGAAGATAACTATCTTTTTACACTATGAAGACAACAATGCAAAGATTGGACATTAGATGAATCTCAGCATAACTGTGAGTTAACCTTGAGGATGCTTGATCTAATCCAATAAATAAACTTTGTATGGAAGCCTTTGTAGTATTTAGCTCCTTATCCCAGGTATTTTGGGAAGATAAATATTGCTTGGGACAAGATACCCCTCCTTAGGCAACCTGGTGGCCCTCACCTTCCCGGGGATCACCATATTGATGCCGAAGTTAGTGCGCACACTTGATCGGCATAGCCCACTGCAGCCCAGAATTCCTGAGCTCAAGCGATCCGCCAACCTCAGCCTCCGGAGTAGCTGGATTACAGGCTCGCACCACCACGCCCGATCGTATGAACAGCTGATTGTCGGGAGGGGGAAAAAAAGGAAGCTGATTGTCAGGAGGGGCAAGCATCGGGCGGGCGGGGCAAGCGAGCCAGCAGCGACCAGGCGACCAGATTGGGGGACGTGGCCAGCCAGAACTTACTACCAGTTCGGTAACCCACGCCAAATCCTTGCTACTGGTTCGCCTGATCTGGTGCGAACCGGCTGAATACCACCACTGTACCTCGGCAGTCGCCAACCAGTGGGCC